GATGAATCGCTTGATGTATTCCCCAATTGTAAGTCGCTTTGGATAAAAGCGTCTGTTAAATGAATAAATGTAAATGTAAATGTAACTGCATCTGAGGCTGTATCTCTGCAAAGCTTTGACATATTGACACTAAATTTTGTATGTGCCATTGTCTCCTCTCACTGACCACGCCACATCAATTTGGTAACAGCGCCACCTATTGGTCAAAAGTAATAAACCATTAACCATTATAAATGAAATGTACAAAAATGTTAGTAACTTTTGATTGTATTAGCCTATTGTACTGAAACTGGTCTCAAAATATTCCTTTTTTTTATTATGCCAAGAACATACATAGCCATTTTGCCATAGTTGGTTGAACTTCCTGTCTGCCATTTTGATTAATGTTGGAAAGCTACATTTTCGAACTTCTCCTAGACCGTTGGTTCAATTTTCACAAAATTTGACTCCGATGATCTTCAGACCATTCTGGCAAACAGTTGTGGATTTTGTGTCATTAGGCGAAACCATTTTCATATAGCGCCGCTACAAATTTAAAGCATGATGCCAAAATAACTCGGAGGCCGTATCCCTGCAAAGCTTTGACATATTGACACCAAACTTTGTGTGTGCCATTGTCAACTCACAATTCCTTAAGTCAAAGACTCAAGGAACATCCTCCTTGCCCCAGCGAAATCGCTGTGGCCAGAACCCGAGCTACAAACCTCTACAGGCAGGCTCAAAGCTCGCCAACATCATAGACTAGCTCACCCACCAAAGTATGGAACTCTAAGAGTGGCGATCTCAGCATAACAACTCTCTAGAACGAGAGGAGACCTGGCTACACTCAACACTAGAGACAGTTAGTGAGGCTCAAAGAAAGAGCCTACATATTAATACTGCTTCAGCAGAGCTCTGGAGAGTGGAGGCTTCAGCAGAATGACTCTCTTATGAGAGGAAGCGCCTAACAACACTCAACCCTAGTTGAGGAGCTCTTACAACACTCAGCCCTAGTTGAGAAGCTCTTTAAAGTGGAGGTCTCAGCATAACGACTCTCTAAAACGAGAGGAGACCTGACTACACTCAACGCAAGAGTGAGTTAGCAAGGCTCACAATAGAGCCTACATACTAATAGTACTGCTTAAGAGGAGCTCTGGAGAGTGGAGGCTTCAGTAGGAAGATTTTCCAAAACGAGAGGAAACCTAGCAACACTCAGCCCTAGACGAGGAGCTCTTAAGAGTGGAGGTCTCAGCATAACAACTCTCTAAACGAGAGGAGACCTGACTACACTCAACTCTAGAGACAGTTAGTGAGGTTCAAAGAAAGAGCCTACACAATAAAACTGCCTAAGCGGAGCTCTGGAGAACGGAGGCTTCAGCAGAATGACTCTCTTAAATGAGAGGAAGCCTAAAAACACTCAGCCCTAGTTGAGAAGCTCTTTAAAGTGGAGGTCTCAGCATGACGACTCTCTAAAACGAGAGGAGACCTGACTACACTCAACGCTAGAGACAGTTAGCAAGGCTCACAATAGAGCCTAATAGTACTGCCTAAGCAGAGCTCTGGAGAGCGGAGGCTTCAGCAGAATGTCTCTCTTAAATGAGAGGAAGCCTAACAACACTCAGCCCTAGTTGAGGAGATCTTAAAAGTGGAGGTCTCAGCATAACTACTCTCTAACTCGAGAGGAGACCTAGCCACACTCAACGCCCGAGACAGCGGAGCTCTAGGGAGCGGAGTACACTGCATAACGACTCAAAAGCTAGAATACTGAGCTAGGAGTACTAACCATGCTATCATGTCCTCCACCCTTAGGGAGCAGCGTACTCAGTACGAAGACCCTCAAGTGAGGGGAGTACTCGAAAGCTTGACCTGAAGAGTGGCTTATCAAGGAGGCCCACAAGAGCCTAACAACCTAATACAGCCACAGAACAGAGCTCTTTTGAGAGAACACTAGGGAACTGTGATCTCAGCATAGCGACCCTCAAAGGGAGGGGAGCTACCAGGCTCAAGAACAGCTGATCAGGGAGGCTCACAGAGAGCCTCACAACCCGACATAACTGCAAACTAAAATTCTAGGGAGCAGAGTGCTCAATATAACTCTCTAGGCGAGAGGAGCAGAAACAATGCTCAACCTAAATGCACGTACCTGGGCTGAGAGGATGAGGAGGCTCAAAAGCCTATCAACTCAAAAAACTTGCTATTACACCAAGCCTGGAGCCTCCTGCTTCACCAATAATGTAGATACCAGAGGGGCATAAACTACAATCGATATCTTACATTACACAGTTCCTCATTCTGTTTTAATAACTTAAAACAGAAACAAAAAGGAATTCTGAAAGAGAAAGCACTCTTCGTCAGATTCCTTCCATGCCCCGCCTACAATCCCCGTGATCAGTCTGACTAACTACTTCGGCAGCCGCGAGACCCGAAACGCGGGTGGGAGGCGCTCAATTCTCAACCTTTTCAAAGAGAATCAAGCATACGAGGCATTCTCAACTCGATCGCATCTCCCAGCGTGCATTTATCTCCCCCGAGAGCCAAACACACTCTGTTCAAACACCAAATTCCCTCAACAATCAAGCGAGAACAGAAACTGCCTCGAATACATCGCTTGTTCAACTCCCTCGAGAGGTGAACATGCTCATGCAAACGCTGACTAAAAACTTGAGTACAGACAAGCTTTACCTCTGCTCTAGTAGTCTGTGAGTCAAACGCATGTGCTTCCGTACACAAGGCTTGAAGACAGATGACGTATTCCACAGGTGCTCTTTTATACCCGCAGTCGCTTTATTGTTTACGTCATAGACTGCCGCCTGCCAATGTCAAGTTCATTGTCGTTTTTTAATTCATGCTTCAGACACCGGTCATGCTGGAGGACGCAGCGTGGAGTTCCCTTTCGAAAGGGAATCCTTACAGTGTTGACCCTTGTTCTTCATAACCTCTGCAATTCGCTCTGGCATGCTGGATATTAGCTTCTGGGCCAAATCCTGACTGATGGTGATCCATTCTTGCCTTATTAGTTCTCGGAGTTGATCACAATT